TACGATGCTCGGCGGGTTTTCGAACATGTCCGTAAGTTTAAAGTCGTGCGACCTTACAGTAGTAGAGGTCGCACGGCTTCCACACACCTTACGATCATCGTACGATCGCGGGATTTCCCGCGATTCTCGTACGATAATCGTAAGGTGTGTGGGGACCCTAAGAGTGCACACAGCCCACCTAAAGGTGCCCACACACCTTACAATGTATCTGCAGATTTTCTGTGGTCAGATGGAAAAAGTACAACAGATTGGCCCAGGTGGAGATTACTTCATCCACACAGTTTAATGTAGATGGAGGAATCTGTTGCACCTTTTCCATCGGCCCACAGAAAATCTGCAGATAAATTGTAAGGTGTATGGGCACCTTTAGAGTACACACAGCCCACCTGTGAGTGCACACAGTACACCTGTAGCTCAACTGAGAGGCGGACAGCCCACTTGAGAGCTACATAGCCTACCTGAGCGTGTGCATAGTACACCTGAGAACCCCATAGCCCACCTGGAAGTGCGCACAGCCCACCTGAGAGTTGCATAGCCCACCTGAGAGTGCACACAATACACCTGAGAGCTGCACAGCCCATCTGAGAGACTGGACATCCTCCTGAGAGCCCGCACATGCCACCTGGAGACATCAGGGTTTCTCCTTACTCCCTCTCCTGGCTGCCTCTCCTCACTCTCTCCTCTATATTCTTAAAAAAAAACCACTCACGGTGCTAGAGTGTTCGGGTTTCCCTTGAAGAACAGGTGGCAAGCCCACTCTCGACACAACTCATTGGGTTCGCACCGAGCCCCCACACATCACTAGTCAGGACTGTATTCTATAAGACTGTGAGGCAAGTTTGCACAACAACCTAGCCCATGCACTATTAATATGGCTGAACTATAAGTTACCACCTTTTTAGGGAAACAATTCTGGCCTTATGATCTCTTTCTCATTAATAAACTTGGCAAGTTATATTTGTATCAGACAGGCTAGTAAAACAAGTTCACAAGTACTGGGTCTGGGCCCAAAACTGGGCCTGCAATAAATGTTTTTTCATTTCTAAAACGGAACTATTTCTATTGACAATCAGTGTATTTCACCCCAGTCCAAAATATAACCCCCAATTTGCATGGCTGGTTAGTCTATACCAGGGGCGCCCACCATTTTTCGTCTGGAGATCTACTTTTCAAATGACGAGCTCAATGAGATCTACCAATGAAAAAACACCTGCATTCAGGGGCGGGAGGAGGTGTGGCGGTGCATTGAAGTCAATGGCACCGCAGCCACGCCCTCCGCCCACAGTGCGATCGCTCGCACCCGGAACACAGGCACATTAGTGCCTGCGTTCCGGTACAGTGCGATATGCAAAAATGCTGCCAGCACTATTTTTGCAGATCGCACTGGACCGGAATGCAGGCACTAATGTGCCTGTGTTCCGGGTGCGAGCGATCGCACTGTGGGCGGAGGGCGTGGCTGCGGTGCCATTGACTTCAATACAACCCCACACCCAAACGCAGGGAGTCGGCTGGCTTACATTCCAGTGCATCCTAGAGGCCCCGGCGTCTTGTCCTCCCGTGGTTCTCATGTGGCCGACGTTTCACATGGGGAGAGGTGTCCTGCCCCTTATTTTTGAACCTGGACAAAAATGAGCACTTAACCCTTGCAGTGTGAGGGGGAAAGGAGAACTATGAGGTGAGTGATTTTCACTCATCCTCATAGTTCTAGCCGACCTGTGACAATGAGACTGTCACACGTCGGTTCAATAGATCGGGAAGTGAGCAAACACATACCGTCGCTCACTAACTTCTCGATCATCTCCCTGCAGAGAGCCATGGCTGTCACTCACGGCTCCCTGCAGGGATTCCCCCCCTCCCCGCTCCTCTAGCGCTGACTGGCGGAACGGACGGGGGAGGGTACAGCTGGCTCTGCCTCTAGATAGGCAGAGTCAGCTGTCACTCACACAGCTGGGTGGATCTCGACAGTAAGTCCTGGGTCACACCTAGGCGTATTGCATATGCGCGTCTGTCGCGCGTTTTTTTAACCGCGATTCGCGGTAAAAAAATCGCGCTACAAACGCGCGTTTCGGAGGGCTACTTGACTGTATACCAATGGAAACACGCAACAAAAACGGCCCAAAGTAGTACATGTACCTTTTCAGGCGTGGGCCGTTTTGTAGTGCGTTAGGGATGGGCTGAAATACGCCAAGGTGTGAACCAGACCCATTGAAAACAATGGGATTTTCATGTTTGAGCGTTTTGTAGAGCGTTCGTCGAGCGTAGAACGCTCTACAAAACGTTCAGGTGTGAACGAGGGCTAATGTCGGGATCCGTTCTGGCTGCGGTGGTCTCAGTATACCGCGAGCTGTAGCTCGCGATATACTGAGCTTTGGGTAACGGGAGGACGCTAGTTTCTGTCCTCCCGTGACCCTTAGGAGAACTACGGGAAAAAACACTTACCCCATAGTTCTCCTTTAAGAAAAAAATTCCCCCGAGTTCTTCTTTAAGTAATTCTCAGGCCTAAAATGTGAAAGGGTTTAAAGGTTGGATTAAAAGAAAAGTGAAATGCACGTGCACATAATTGAGTATACAAGCAGATCAGGAATTTTCTTCTCACATGGTTGGATAAGTAAACATTCTCACAATAGTTTTCATTGACGATGGTTAGTATATCAGCCTCGCTCATAGTGAACACTATCACGTTCATAGAGAAGAGTGCCTCTGCGTTTCCCATGGATTGATTCCATTGGCACAGCGCCCCCTGGCGGCATTCATTCACACTACAGGAGGTCTGTGTATAGAGTCGCCGTGTGTGCGGAAGGGGCGGGGTTTGATGATGTGGGTGGGGCCCAGGCAGGCTTCGCTGTGTTTTGACGTGAGATGGAAAGTGTCGGGGCCGGGAGCGGATATGGATATCAGCGGCCTGCACCGGGAGCGCTCCGAGGGGTGAGTGGCGTGTATTAGGACAGGTTGATGGATCTGCTGAGCTGTAGTAATGTATGGTGCGGTATTGTAGGGAGGTGGCTGTGTGATCCAATGGCAGTGTGTTACATACACTGAGGAGGAATGTGACCCGGGTAGGTGGATAGGGAGGGTGGCCTGCAATGTACCCTTCAGGGTATTTAGCAGAGTCAGCTGACAAATCGTGAATTGATCAGTGACTGGTGATTGGACAGCTTGGTGAGTGTAGATGACATGTCCTCTGCTGTGCTCTATCATTATTCTCTGTGGGGGGAAGATAGCATTCTGCACCTCTCAGAACACATTCCTAAAGCATAAAACCACCCACACAGCGAGATACCGGGCACATCACATGACACCAGTCCACTCACGTGACAGGGACCATCCGATTTCTTTTCATTTGAGTTGATGATGTAGTATTGGCCTCCAGTGGATAACAGGTCATAGGTGAGGGTGAGACATGCTGGCTTTTTGTCATGGACAGATATAGGATCCACTTGTCAGATCCGAGTATTGGAGTAACACTAATGATGCTGCGTACAGCTCTTTAGCTGAGTTACTCAGGATTGTGAGTAATGCTGTGCACTGTCATCTAATTAGAAGCTCTCACATCCATCACTTATAATGGAAATACAACACACCCTCCTCCTCGGAAATCACTACTGAAAATGTTTTACAGCTGAACTTCGGGATAAGCAAATATTATCTGAGCACGAGAGTCATGTGTATTCTTATTGAATCTCGTTGTGCTTTGTGTAGTTCTTTCAGAACTGTGAAGTCATCCAGTGTGAGACCTTTCTGTCATATAATAAAGACCAGTCACTGCTGCTCTCTCCCTGTGCAGAATGACTGGTCTTGTGTCCTCTCCTCCTGTAGTGGGTGGAGCCTGATGGTCCCCTCCCACCGCTTTGCTCTGGTTTATGTACAGTGCAGTGATGATGTCACTGCTACTTTTACAAGCAAATATATCACTTTGCACAGGCATTTGGTGCACACCTCTACACAGGTTATCTCCCCTTCAGTCTATCATGAATGCTGCTGCCAGACTTATTCACCTAACCAATCGCTCAGTGTCTGCAACCCCCCTCTGTCAATCCCTGCACTGGCTTCCAATAGCCCAAAGGATCAAATTCAAAATCTTAACAACCACTTGCAAAGCCATCCACAACTCTGCCCCCGGCTATATCTCGAACCTTGTCTCAAAGTATCGCCCTAACCTTCCCCTCCGCTCTTCCAAAGACCTCCTGCTCTCTAGCTTCCTCGTCAACTCCTCCCATGCTCGCCTCCAGGACTTCTCTAGAGTCTCTCCCTTCCTATGGAACTCTTTACCCCAACCTGTCTGTCTATCTCCCACTCTGACTGCCTTTAGTGGATCCCTTAAGACTCATATCTTTAGGGAAGCCTATCCCACCTCAACCTAACCACTGAACTATCACATTCTCAAACAATTCATCCCCTCACAGCTACCTCCTCATGTATCACTTCTCCCTCCCTTTTAGATTGTACGCCCTCAGGGGCAGGGCCCTCCTTACCATCGTGTCTTGAATTGTATTGTGATTGTAATGTCTTCCTTATATGTAAAGCGCTGCGCAAACCGTTGGCGCTATATAAATCCTGTATAATAATGTATGTCTTGTGTGGCTTTGAGGAATATTAGAGTTGCAGCTAACGATTATTTTCAAAATCGATTAGTTAGCCGATTATTAAGTTCGATTAATCGGATAAACAATAAAATAAACTTAAAATGGCTCCAGTGATGGGACTACTGGTTTGTATTGAGATTGTAGTCCATCACAGGAGCAAGCTTGGAGCGGTGGAAGAAAAAAAAAGTGTGGTGTGCAATATAGTGAAATACAAAGTGTAAAATTATACAGCAATGAATGCAGAATGGCACTGGCTATCGAGGACTACAAATCCCAGCAATAGTACAATATACAGCGCAATGCAGAGTATCACCAGCTATAGAGGAGCACAACAAATCCCAGCAATAGTACATTATAGCTGGCAGTATTCTGCATTGCTGTATAATGTACTGTTGCTGGGTTTTGTAGTCCTCTATAGCCAATGGTATTCAGCATTGCACCACTGTATAATGTATTATTGCTGGGATTTGTTGTGCTCCTCTATAGCTGGTGGAATTCTGCATGGCGCTGTGCAGATTATCACCAACTATAGGAGTACAACAAATCCCAGCAATACATTATACATACAGTGTATAATGCATTGCTGAGATTTGTGTTCCTATGTATAATATACAGCACAATGTACCATCAGCTATAGAGGAATACAAATCCCAGCAATACATTATAGAGCACCATGTGGGGGAAGTGCAGGCTTACCTGAGCAGTCTTCCAGCAACTTGCTTCTGAGATCGGGACTGTCTATCGGCAGCTGTCCTCCCCCCACACCTGCTCCTCCTTACTACATCTCCCCGCGTGCCGATCGTGGATGTGGGCGGGCGGTGAGTGTGAGGCGGGAAGAAAGTGCGGCATGTAGAACGTGGATGCGGGCGGGCGGGTCTGGCAGCGGTGAGCGTGAGTTGGGGAGGAGGTGCGGTGCGCAGCGTGTGTGGAGCCGTGAACAGGGCCAGCTGATCAGAAGCCGATTAATTGACAACTTTTTCAATAATTGATTATGTCGATTAGTTGTTGCAGCCCTAAGGAATATATTTAAATACAAGTGTTTGTGCCCAGAGTTCCGCTTGAAAGCTTTTTTTCTCCCTCTACTTTGGTCCACACAACCCTGCTTTGAAGTTGGCCATAGACAGGACGTTTAGTTTGTTAGGAAGCAGTATTACCTTTTAAAGCAGGGGTGGGCAACTCTGGGCCCTCCCATAGGGCAGTGCAAGACAGACAGTTACAGTGACAGTTGCATGATTCTCAGAGGCATGTTGGGATTTATAGTTAAAGCACAGCTGGAGGGCCAGAGTTGCCCACTCCTGATTTAAAGGATCCTTGTTATTTCCAACACATGCATTCAATAATTTGCTGTTGTTAAAAAATCCAGACATAGACTGTTTTGCAGCAGACTGCCTTGTCTCTGAAAGGGATACATGGTGTCTGTGTGTAGGTTTGCAACCTGAGCCAGCACTACAGGAAGAGGCACTCGGCTACAAAGGAAAGTTCTTCCCCAGCATGAGAAGACATGAGGATTTAAAAGGAAGAGCAGCAAAGAGAAGGGAAACAACCATGGATTACAGTAAGGCGCACATTACAGTATTGGTTTATGTTAAAAAATCTGAGGGTTTAATGTCACTTTAAGCTTAGTAGCACAGTTTTGGTTTGGACTTCTCAAGTCTGAAAAACATTTACTGTCTGTGCAAAGCCATGCAGCCAGAGGTGACACAAGGTGACTTCTACGTTTTCCTTTTGAACATAATGAGGAGAAAAGTCACCGGAACTCCAGCTGTGATGCACCTTGTCATTTATTGACGCAAGTTCATATTATCACTAAGCAAACAACGTTTCAGGCCGCAGAGGGTCCCTTTATCAGGCAAACAATGGGATGTCATTTTGCTTTGTGATATGATAAACTTGCGTCAATAAATGACAAGGTGCGTCACAGTTGGAGTGCCGGTGACTTTTCTCCTTATTGCTTTTAAGTGCGGCGTCATCTGCTTATCATTGTAGCACCCATTATAACTTCTTGGGACCTATCAGTCAGCAGTGCAATGGGATATGTACAGACTTCTGTTGAACGTCATCAAATCTGGAGGTTTTTATAAAGCCGAACTTCAGGCACAAAAACCTCCATGCCAATGTACTGTATTCCTCAATAACCAAAAAGGATAGAAATCCACTTTGCGTGCACCAAATGCTGTGACATTATCACTGTGCTGGACATAGTCTATGCTGTGATAAACCCACTACAGGCTGCCTGCAGAGAACTACATGAGGGGGCGGAGACAAGACCAGTCACCCTGTACTAGGAGGGAGAGCAGCAAAGATCGGTCTTTATTACAGAAAGCTCCTGCACAGAGAAGTCTCACACTGGATTACTGCACAGACTTGGAAGAAATACACAAAGCACCCCAAGATTGAAGTAAGAATACACACGGCTCTTGTATTTAGACAATAGTAGCTTACCCCAAAGTTCAGCTTTAAAGTTAAATTGTAACAACTATATACTCAGCAAACATAGACAGCATCGGTCTTTGTTTGCAGAGTAATTTGTTGTTCCAGGTTTCCTGGGATTTGTGAGTAAATTGTATTGTTAGATAAGGAAAGAATCTAAAGGACAGAAAATGCCGAGGTGGGCAAAATGCAAGGGAGCTGCAAGGAAGGAAATACACTGACTGCCACAACCGACTTGATTTAAAGGTTGCTGCCCCATGGCTGTCATCCTGATCTTATATTCACGAT